TAGCGCTATAATTCATATGAAATTATTCATGCACCAGTTGGAAGGACTAGCCCATAAATCCCACTTACTGTAAATCAGGACCTTCAGGTAAAATCACGTGTTTAGTCCTAATTTGATCTGAAACAATCCACTCAGCCAGCACAAAATTGTCACATATCAGAATTTCATAAATATGTTAAAGAATGAATTATGAAACACCGCCGACTGAAACAGATACTGAGAACGGAAACTAAGAAGTAGTTTCATTCCGAGTTTTGATCTTTTTCGTTATCAGGTTCCCAGAGCAAGGGGCTGTTCACTTATCATATAGAAAACGCGTAGACAACGGCAGCCGCGCAGCTTTCTCCTTCTTTCCAAAGTGCTTGGGAGCTTGTGCACCTGTGGTGTATGCCGTTGCTATGCACCCGTGTCCTGTGCACTGCATGACGGTGTTGGACCCCTGTTCTTTTCAGCACATTAACTCTGAGAGACGAAGCAGTCTGAGTAACTTCAAAACAGTGCTGATTTATTCAATGAACACAGGTAAAATTAACATTGCACGCTCAGGAGTCTTTGCACCTCCAACATGCACGCAGGCAGCTGGTAGATGAAAAGCCCTGAACCATAACAGGCCTATACATTATATCACTTTGGGCTAGCCCCATACTACTCAGGGATGCCAAACCGTGACGTCTCCGGTGCCAGCTTTACAGCTGACCATAGCAGTAGTCAAAGCATGAAGAAAATCAATGTGTGATTGTCTGTTGATTGTGTGGTATGCATCTAAGACATTCTGACATGACATCTAGTGACATGTCATGACACTAAGCATAAGAAAATATTATGATTACACACGTCATAATAATAATACTAAACATTCTGTCTCCTAACAGTAATCAACTTTCTATCTAGTTATCCTTGAACATGAACAACCTGGAGTACCCTATGGGAATGACTAAGCATTTAACAGCCTGAGCTAGACATCCTGTCTACACTAAACATTTCTAATACATGAAATGTCTAACCAATGTCTATCTGACTAAAAATACCTAACAATTCCCCCTTCTGACATGACCAAAATCGTGTCAACCCCAATCAATGTCCCATTTTCCCCAGATGAAGCTACCTGGCATTACGAGAGGTGAGAGGCCCCCTCCAAAACCACTCCCTCAAGGGTAAACTACAGAGCTGAGTACTTTAGGAAAAAATGAACTAAAAACACAAAAAGGGTTAGAGCGTGTAAGCGGGTTTTTTATTGCAGTGACATCTATATGTATGCCGTATGTGTAAGCTGATTCAACGCAACTAAGAGCGTTTGAGCAGACAGAATTGTGGAAATACATAAACATCATGTGTGGCAAGCTTTCATTGGTTAATCATAACATTAGGGGATAACTAATACACAGAAGAGAACAAAGATTCCCTTGCATCCTATCGCAATCATAAACCCCACACAACAATGAGAATTTAAGTTACCATTATCAATTACCATTAATACTTACCAAACTTAATTATCAAAAATCAATTACCAAAAATCAATTAACAAACTATGAGTTCACACCACCTACGTTTACGCAAGAATATATCAGTATGTACAGTATTAACCTTTAATCATTTTATGTAGGATCCACGGTCTTCACTCCGGTCCATGGAGCTCTTCAATCTCTCACTCACCGGGCTCAGTGAGGGAGATCAGAGGAATGGATTTCCAGGGGGCATGGGATTGTATCAATTCACAGGCAGGGGGCTGAGGATATCTCTTATCAATGGCAGTGGTAATGCACTTGAGACAGAGATGCCTGATGCAGGGGATGCATCCGCATCCACACAAGGTCAGCAGTGTGACTGCTGCCACCAAAGATGTAAGTGCAGAGATCAC